AGTCGTGTCATTTTAAAAAAATGCTGCCAAATCAGATGAGAAGAAGTGACTGTAAAAGCTTGGGAAATGAAGTAAAAGAAACCTTTTACTGGATTGCTTTGCAAAAGTCTACAAGATCTTATTTACTCTGCGTACACTGTTTGTTCCTTCTGACAGAAACCAGCAGAGCCAGGCGGAAGAAAGACTCTGGCCTGGCACTCCAATTTCAGAACCGGGTTCAAGCATGGCCACCTCAGTGAAACTCCAGAAGGGACTTTTCCCCGAAATGCCCATACCCTACTTTGCTCATCGCACACCACAGACGCTCCTATTCACACGTTAGCATCATCTTCTGTTGACACACTTACTTCTCTCTACTGACTTGTAAGCCTCCTGAGATCAACAGACACTGGTTAAATAAATTCGTCTTGAATAAATAACAATTTAAAGAAGGATGAGATTGATGAGGATGTGGTGATATGGAAAGGTACCCAAGAGAAAGATAACACTGGTAAGAAAAAGAACAAGTTTTGGGTGTGTGTGTCGGGGGGCGGGGGGAGTGTTAAACATGCATACCTATTATTCCCAGAACTGTCTGGGCACACACAAAATGTCAGTGGATACGTCCAGGGACAGGAAAAGGGGTTGGAAAGAGGAGGAAGGTCTTGAGTTTCCACTTTTCAGCCTCTTGTAAAATGTTAAGTTGTTAACACAGCATGCACTATGTTTATGTTTCAAAAAACAATTCAACTATAATTAAAAGAAAACTCCATCACGTTGTCAATTAGCACCTTTTTCTAGGAAAAAACCTCAATGTCAATTTTAAACCCAAGTATATATTGAGTTCTTTGGTGTCTAGAGAATCAAAGCCATTTTCAAATTTTCCCATGATAACTAAGATACTGAAAAGCACAGTATCAGAGTCAGCACATTTTCCGAGTAGAAGTCATAGCAGTTTTTTAAACTGAAATGTTGCAATGCCATTTACAGCACTCTTAAGAAACTAATAACAACTATTCATACATTACAAATTCCTCCATTTTGCATAAAAATGACCTCTCTTAGGGAGGCAGTACAACAATGTTGCATGGACGTGCTGTGAAATCTGACTGAACTGGAATCCAGGCTCTGTCATTGGCTGGGTGATCTTGGGCCATTTATCAACCTGTCCGGGCCTCAGTTTCCTCATGAATAAAACAGGAATGATGCTGCCTGGCTAACAAAACCCTACATCAGTGTACCCCAGGCACCTCAGTGGAATATCAGACTGCTTTACAGGTACGTGGACAAACAGGTTTCACTTGAATGGCACCACTTATGCCTTAAGGATCAGGCTAACGTAGGTGGCAGCCACCTCAAGCAAACCAGGAGTACAGGTATGCTCTGGCAGAATCACTGATGGGTCCCATCTTTAGAAAAGGAATCTTTACCAATGCTGTTGAGATGTTCAGAGAAAATGGAAAACCTGTATGTTGTTAGTTCCACCAGCAGCCAGCTAAGGGTGGGGAAGGTGGGAGAGAGGCCACCCCTTGGACAACCATGCTGTGAGCTACGCATGAAACGTGCACTGCTTGTGAGCACTGGGGCCTCATCGAGCAACTAGCCAGCAAGGATCCTGCCTCCTGGAGCTTGGCAAGCAGCCACCTACCCACCTATCCTGAATCACAGATCACGGAGTCTAACATGTGAGTCACGGGCACGTACGTCCTTTTTGTCACTGGGTTAGATTTACTGGTTTAATAGCTTTTTCTTGGCTTAAAAGCAACCATCTATTTAGGAGAAGTTATACCGGTTTTTCTTTAGTAATCACCATATAAGGTCTCCTTTTGAAATGCATTTAGTGTAAACACTGCCATAAGCCAACAACTGCTAATCTGCTCCTGATAAGGGCACCAAGAGATGTGCACTGGATGGGTGGGGCTGACGCCACCTTCAACTCTGTCACCCACAAGAAGTCCCACAAGGAATGTGTCAGACTTCCAGCTAGGTCAACTTTACCCTTTCATTTCTAGCATCTTCTCTAAATATACTTCCCATTGCTTATACCTCATTTATTTACTGGTTGCAATACAGCTGATACACGGTATTACATTGACTTCTACAACATAGTGATTTGACAGTTATATATATTACTAAATGCTCACCACAGTATAGTTACCATCTGTCATCACACAAAGATATTATAATATTACTGACTATATTCCCTGTCTGTACTTTCATCCCATAATTATTTTATATTAGATGTTTGTGCCTCTTTATCCCCTTCACCTATTTTTACCCCCTTCCCCCACATGGCAACTACCACTTTTTTCTGTGTTTGAGTCTTTTTCTGTTTTGGTCATTTGTTTTTCCAGATTCCACATATAAATGAAATCAAGTGGTATTTGTCTTTATCTGCCTGGCTTATTTCACTTAGCATCATACCCTTTAGGTCCATCCATGCTGTCACAAATGGCAAGATTTCCTTCTTTTTATGCCTGAGTAATATTGCTGTTCTGTATATGAACCATGTCTTCTTTAGCCATTCATCTATTGATGGACACTTAAGTTGCTTCCACATCCTGGCTACTGTAAAAAGTGCTGCAATGAACATAGAGGTGCATGTATCTTTCTGTTTTGGTGATTTTGTTCTCTTTCAGGAAATTCCCCCAAGTGGAATTACTACTTGTACCATATTTAAAACCACAGAAAACACCTCAGCATCTCAGCTGGAGTAACATCTGAAAAGAATGTGCTAACTTTTTAATGAAATAACATTAAAGCAAATTGTATACAGTCCCCAGTCACTACCTTCCCCAATTCCTATTCTGAACTTTTCCAAGCTTTGGAAAGTTAGGAGAATACAAAGTAGAAGAGAACTTGGAACTCTCATACACTGATGGAATGTAAAGTGGTGCAGATCCTTTACAAAACAGGTTGGTAGGTCTTCAAAAAGTTAAACATAAAATTACCATATCACCTAACAACTCCACTCCTCACTATATATCCAGAATAAATGAAAACATATGTTCACACAAAAACTTGTATTAGAATGTTCACAGTAGTATTATTCATAAGAGCCAAAAAGTGAAAACAACCCAGATGTCCATCAACAGATGAAAGGATAAATACAATGCAATGTGGCATATCAACACAATGGACTATTACACAGCCATAAAAAGGAATGCAGCACTAATACATGCTACAATTTGTATGAACACTGAAAACATGTGCTAAGTGAAAGAAACCAGTCACAAAAGGCCACATACTGTATAAACTCTACTTATATGAAATGTCCAGAATGGGCAAATCAAGGAGACAGAGTAGATCTGTGATTGCCAGGGGCTGAGAAGTGAATATTAATGGGTGGAGGGTTTCTTTGTGGGCTAATGAAAATGTTCTAAAATCGAGAGTGGTGATGGTTGCGCAATTCTGTGAACACATTAAAACTACCAATTCTATACTTTAAATTTTAAGTGCATTTGAATTTTTTTAAGTGCATTTAAGTGAATTTTAAGGCATTTGAATTTGATGTCAATAAAGCTGTTAGTTCAAAAAAAAAGTACAAAGTAGACCCATATAGCCTTCAACTGGATTCACCAATTATTAATTTGCTTTCTTTCTTCTCACATGTCAGCTCACACACACACACACACACACACACACGATTCATAGCTGGACCATTTAAAATTTATTGTTGCAACACTTTACTTCTAAATACTTCAGCATGTTGGAATACTCTACAAAACCAAAATATGAAGATCACACTCAGGAAATTATCACCAATACAAAACTATTATTTAATATACAGTCCATATTCAAATTTACTTATCAGAAAGTATGTACTGTATTTGGTTGTTCTGTTTAGTCTCTTAAACTACAAAAATTCCTCTTTAATGACATTGATATTTTTGGAGAATCCAGGTCAATTACTTCACAGAATGTTCCTCAGTTTGGATATGCCTGGCAGTGTCCTTATTAATGGATTTAGGTTAAGTACTTTTGGAGGGACTACTACACAAACCAGGTGTGTCCTTATCAGTGCATCATGCCAGAACCCTGTTATTAATGCCAAGACATGTCAGTCTCATTAGTGGTGATGTTCCAAGTGGAGTTCACTGTTGGTCTTGGTTAGATTAGTAACTACCAGATTCCTTCATTATAAAGGTACCCTTTTCCCTTTGTAATTAATAAACTTGGAGGTGACCATTTGAGACTGTATAAATATCAGGTTTCCCCAACTGTCTTGCACCAAAGGTGTAAGCACCCATTCATGATCTGTCTGGTATTCTACCCCTTTTGATGCTGACCTGCATTTATGTGACAAGCACTACCCTCAATTTTCTCCCAGTGTGAGACCCAACTGTGATTTCAACACTGGGGGCACATTAGAATCACACACTTGGATCTCTGGGGGATGGGACCGGGATAATCATTCCTTAAAACTTCCCAGGGATTGAGTTTGACAGTAGAGTGGAGGTTCCCCAAATTAGAGGAATCTTGCACCATCCTCATTTGGCAAAAAGGAAACTGAGGCCCGAGAAGATTAAGTGATTGGCCAAAGGCATTAAACCTGTTAATGGCATAGTCTAGATTTTCATTTTTTTGGATTTGTATTTTAAAATGCCACTCCTGTACGTCATTCAAAGAATACAACAGGAGTAAGCAGTAACTTTTGTAATGGTGTTAAATGCTGACCACGGCCTAAGGCGCATATTTGTGCTTTCAAGGTTAACCCTGACTTTCATTAGACCGTCGCACTGCCTTACAAGTGAGATGGGGGCGTGTGGTCATCGCCCTCAGTGCTCGCGGAGACAGCACAAGCCCTATGTTCAAGGGGCCAGATGCACAACAATGCAGCCCATGTACCCTCCCCGCAAGCCCCCCCGACCCCGCCCGAGCCTTCGTCTGGCAGCCGGCCGCGCGCGCGAAGCACCTGGAGGGGTCGCACCTGGAGGAGCACCCTGCTCCGCCCGCAGACACCCAGGAGCGCGCGGGGCCCTAGAGACGACGGATCCTGCAGACACGCCCACCCTACTTACCCCGGCATGATAAACCTTGTTTGCTCTTTTAATCTTAATGTCCAGAGAGGTCCCCATCTCCAATACAACGCTGCAGGCACCACTTCCTGCTGCTCGTGACCTGAGGGAAGTACAGTCGCCCCGCCCCACCGAACCGGGGCCCCGCCCCTTTCTNTTCTCGGACCATGTCAGAGTGTTAGTCTCATGGCTTGAGTAGGACCCTAGATACTTAATGAAGGTAAGAGGGTGCAAGTCCTGGTTCTGGCTCTCAGACACATTCCTAATGTTCTCTTCAAGGCCTGGCTGCTTCTGTGTTGAGGCACATATCTCTCAGCTGACCACCGCTGGACTTGTCTTAGTTGATCCCTGCTTCTCCAGATAGCTCCCCCTTATTTGAATCTCCTTTCATGGGGCACATGTGGGAAGGGATGGTGGGCTTCTCCCCTGTGTACATGTGCAAAGAAGATCTACCTGCAGCTTGATATTTTCCATTATCCACTGCCAGTGCAGCAGTACACCCTGACTCCTGGGTGAGAGTCCAGCCAGACAGCTTAAGACTTGTTTTATCTTAGCTAAGTCACTCTTCAAAACTGGCCTTCAGCTTTGCCCAGCTTCATGGTCTGTTGGGGAGGCACAGTCCATACCTCATGAGTCGTCAACTTAGGGTACAAAGACCTCTTCCATTCACCCCAGCTTGGGACCACTCTGAAGGAAAATTTCAGCTCAAAAAGTTATATTAGTTACTTATTCCTACATAACAAATTACCCCAAATAGTCATTTAAAATAAACATTAATGATCTCCTTTGGGGGTAAGGAACTGAGGAGCAGCTTCACTGGGTAGTCTGGTTCAAGGTCCTCGGTGATTGCAGTCAAGATGTTGGGACCACAGTCATCCTGGGGCTTGATGGAGCTGGAGGGGCCACTTCCAACATGGTGCCCTCTGGTGGCTGTGGGCTGGGGCCTCACAGCAGAGCTGCTAACTTCTCCCAGACCGGTGATCCTGGAGGGAGAGCAAGCAGGGAGCTGCCCCGCCCTGTATGGCCTAGGCTCTGGATATTCTCATCCACTTTCCTTCTGTTCCTTAGAAGAGGGCTGCTGAATCTTGTTCACATTCTAGGGAAGGGGAATTTGTGGACATATTTTAAACCACTCTGCTCCCATTGGATGGAGAACCTTTGTTGTGTCTGCATCACAGGTAAGCTTTTCCCTCTGCCCAACCGAATCCTGCTTCCCTCACCCCCACCCCTCCACACCCACAGCACCTCCTAATAGACGTCCTGCACGTTAGCCTGTTCCTGGCAGCCCAACCTGCAACAATCCTATCACACAGGCTTCCTGACTTTACCTTCTCTGAGATTCTGTGGAACAGTCTCAGTACCTTCTTTACGGGGAAGGTGACCAGATTCATAACAGCTCACATATTTATCAAGTACTTGCTGTGTGCCAGGTACTACCCCACTTTCCACTTTTCTCTCGGGCCAGGCGTCTGTCCCCGGCACGGCGGCGCTCCGAGTCTGCAAAGCGCCGGTGAGCGAGCCGCCCGGAGCCAAGGGCTCGCCGTGCTCTGACCACGGCGCTGGGTCACCCGCCGCTCGGGGCCGCGGGACCTTGTGGGTGCTGAATATTCGCATTCTTGCTCGGAGTGTGGGAGGCGCGGCTCCCCGGCCCTGGACGCCGGCCGTGCGTGGAAGGGAAGAGCTCGAGGCCGACAGGACCTGCCTGGTTCCCTCCGGCCAGCAAGAGCTGACAGCCACCCTCAACAGAAATTGCTTGTGGGGAGTAGCCTCCGGGCGGGGCAGCAGTGCAGTGTTAGGTAACACACTACGTTTACTAAAATAAAATCCTTGTAAATGTTTTAAACGAGGACTTTTCCATTAAGCTGGAAGTTATAACAGTTCATTATTTTGGTAACTGGCAATGCAGTGAAGAAGTGCTTTTTGTTAAATTCCTTAGTTATGATATATTTTTTTTAAAGTGACTTTCAGAATTGCATCAGAAATTTTCTGTAAAACAATAGCATGAATTAGTATCACGAGTGCCTCCCTCTTGAGAACTTCAGGTGTTTTCTAGGACAACACTGATGCTGTTATAGCTGCAATTGATTTTGAAGGTTGATACAAGGTGGTACTCCAATATTCAGGTTTCTGTCTACAGCTCCTCTCTGCCCTCAGGGCTTCCGTCTCTGTCTTGGCCATCTTTCTGGCAACTCAAACTCAGCAATTCTGAAACAGTTCATGAAGGACTTTATTCATCACAGTTTAGTCTTTGCAGTTCAAGAAGTGGATCTCTCTCCACTAGACTCACCCATCATTTCCAACTGCTAAAATATCAATCTCAGTAGACAAAGCAGGGTAACAGGAAAAGAAACACCTTACAAGGATCCACATTTCAGACTTCTTTGCTTCAGCAAACCTGCTTTATGCTAACTTTACAACAGAAAATTTTTTGCTCCTTGAGAAGTGTGCCATATTTTACTCATCTTTGTAGGTCGTACACAGTTTTAACAGAATGCTTGTGCAATGCAAACAGCTTTTAGTTCCAGCACTTTATCTATGTAATCAGTTTGTTGAGGCCTCTCTGTGATGGCTTCCAAAAATGAAACAGTCCACTTTTCTCCAAACATTGCACTTTGGAATCTTTTCCATCCCTTAACCACATCTAGGTGATATTGGTAATTCTCGGACCATGTCAGAGTGTTAGTCTCATGGCTTGAGTAGGACCCTAGATACTTAATGAAGGTAAGAGGGTGCAAGTCCTGGTTCTGGCTCTCAGACACATTCCTAATGTTCTCTTCAAGGCCTGGCTGCTTCTGTGTTGAGGCACATATCTCTCAGCTGACCACCGCTGGACTTGTCTTAGTTGATCCCTGCTTCTCCAGATAGCTCCCCCTTATTTGAATCTCCTTTCATGGGGCACATGTGGGAAGGGATGGTGGGCTTCTCCCCTGTGTACATGTGCAAAGAAGATCTACCTGCAGCTTGATATTTTCCATTATCCACTGCCAGTGCAGCAGTACACCCTGACTCCTGGGTGAGAGCCCAGCCAGACAGCTTAAGACTTGTTTTATCTTAGCTAAGTCACTCTTCAAAACTGGCCTTCAGCTTTGCCCAGCTTCATGGTCTGTTGGGGAGGCACAGTCCATACCTCATGAGTCGTCAACTTAGGGTACAAAGACCTCTTCCATTCACCCCAGCTTGGGACCACTCTGAAGGAAAATTTCAGCTCAAAAAGTTATATTAGTTACTTATTCCTACATAACAAATTACCCCAAATAGTCATTTAAAATAAACATTAATGATCTCCTTTGGGGGTTAGGAACTGAGGAGCAGCTTCACTGGGTAGTCTGGTTCAAGGTCCTCGGTGATTGCAGTCAAGATGTTGGGACCACAGTCATCCTGGGGCTTGATGGAGCTGGAGGGGCCACTTCCAACATGGTGCCCTCTGGTGGCTGTGGGCTGGGGCCTCACAGCAGAGCTGCTAACTTCTCCCAGACCGGTGATCCTGGAGGGAGAGCAAGCAGGGAGCTGCCCCGCCCTGTATGGCCTAGGCTCTGGATATTCTCATCCACTTTCCTTCTGTTCCTTAGAAGAGGGCTGCTGAATCTTGTTCACATTCTAGGGAAGGGGAATTTGTGGACATATTTTAAACCACTCTGCTCCCATTGGATGGAGAACCTTTGTTGTGTCTGCATCACAGTTAAGCTTTTCCCTCTGCCCAACCGAATCCTGCTTCCCTCACCCCCACCCCTCCACACCCACAGCACCTCCTAATAGACGTCCTGCACGTTAGCCTGTTCCTGGCAGCCCAACCTGCAACAATCCTATCACACAGGCTTCCTGACTTTACCTTCTCTGAGATTCTGTGGAACAGTCTCAGTACCTTCTTTACGGGGAAGGTGACCAGATTCATAACAGCTCACATATTTATCAAGTACTTGCTGTGTGCCAGGTACTCTTCTAAGCACTTTAAATGTTTTAATTTATTCCATCATTGTAATAATCTTATGATAAAAGTACAGTTATGGTTTATTCCCCTTATTTCCATCCCAAAAGGGAAAAACAGAGAACAGAAAGATCCATGTACTTATCCAAGGCCATGTAGCAACCAAGTGAAAGCCACTCATTTTGATTCCAGAACTCACACCTGTGTCACCAATCACCAGGCAGACACCTGGACCTAAAGCCAGGGGGCTCAGGATCCTAATGAAAAGGGAGGGCAAAGGACTGCTGATCACATGAGAGACTCAAGCAGGGAGGGGCATGATGTTATGGTCAAAGGTGACTTCATAGAAAGGAATGGGGGTCGTTTTATCAACTGATGGTGAAGACACAATATAAAAACCATGGCCAAGATGTATCTGGAGACTGAAGTGTGAAAATAACGTGGGCAGGGCTCATTCTTCCGAGGGCTGAGGGAAAGCTCTGCTCCGGGCTTCTCTTTGGTGTGCCAATGGCTATCTTCTCTCTTGTTCCTTCACGTGCTCTTCTTTTTATGCATCTTCATCTCCACCTGGCATTCTCCCCATATGTGTGCCTGTCTCCAAATTCCCCTTTTTTCAAGTACACTGTTCTATCGTATTAGGGTCCATACTAATGACCTCATGTTAACTTGACTACCTCTGTAAAGACCTTCTCTCCAAACAGTCACATTCTGAGGCAGGGCTTCAACATATAAATTTGATGGGGATGCGGTTCAATTTGTAACATATAGCAACAATATCTATACAACAAAAATATTTAGACATATAAATATAAAAGACATACAGTTAGTAGAAAATTTTAACACAACAGTCATTCAGAGATTGAGTGCATAAAAAATAAAGACAGAATTTTAATAAGAGGTACAATGAACAAATAACTTGGAGTCACAGGGAAATATTCTTTTCAGGTGTCTGTATGTATTTATAAGCATTGATACAGGGTGCCACAAAGGAAATCTCACTTTCAGTTCTGTACAGTCCAGATACTTGAACCCCCTCAAATTTTACCTCCTTGGAAATCAAGACATACTTATCTAAATATGTTAGGTCAAGGAGCAAATAAAAATACAATAGTTAACTAAAACCAATAAAGTGTGAGTGCATCAAACCAAAACCTATGGGATACTGTGGGGAAAATGAAAGTTCTTATGGCCAGGATCCTCACCTGACCTGAAACTAC